TTTTTGCATCTATGTTTATCAAGGATATTGGCCTATAATTTTCTTTTCTTGTGGTGTCCTTGTCTGATTTTCATATCAGGGTAATGCTGGCCTTGAAAAAATGAGTTTGGAAGTATTTGCTCCTCTTCTCTTTTTTTGGAAGAATTTGAGAAGGATTGGTGTTAATTCTTCTTTAAATGTTTGGTAGAATTCACTAGCGAAGCCATCTGGTCCTGGAATTTTGTTTATTGGGAGATTGATTACTGGTTCAATCTCCTTACTAGTAATCGGTCTGTTCAGATTTTCTATTTTTTCATTCTTCAGTCTTGGTAGATTGTATGTTTCTAGGAATTTATCTATTTCTTATAGATTGTCTAATTTGTTGGCATATAATTGCTCATGATAGTTTCTTATGATCCTTTGTATTTCTGTGGTATCATGTTCTATTGTCTCATCTTTCATTTCTGATTTTAGTTATTTCAGTCCTCCTCTTTTTTTCTTGGTAAGTCTAGCTAAAGGTTTGTCTATTTTGTTTATCTTTTTTTTTTTTTGGAGGAAGATTAGCCCTCAGCTAACTACTGCAAATCCTCCTCTTTTTGCTGAGGAAGCCTGGCCCTGAGCTAACATCGTGCCCATCTTCCTCTACTTTATATGTGGGATGCCTACCACAGCATGGCATGCCAAGCAGTGCCATGTCCGCACCCAGGATCCGAACTGGCGAACCCTGGGCCGCTGAGAAGCAGAATGTGCGAACTTAACCACTGCACCACCGGGCCGGCCCCTATTTTGTTTATCTTTTAAGAAAAGCAGCTCTTAGTTTCATTGATCTTTTCTGTTGTCTCTTTAGTCTCTATTTTATTTATTCCTACTCTGATCTTTGTTATTTCCTTACTTCTACTAACTTTGGGCTATGTGTGTTCTTTTCCAGTTCCTTGAGGTGGAAAGTTAGGTTCTTTATTTGAGATTTTTCTTGTTTCTTGAGGTAGTCATTTATTGCTATGAACCTCCCTCTTAGAACTGCTTTTTCTGCATGCTGTAAGTTTTGATATGTTGTCTTCACATTTCATTCATTGGAAGATATTGATTTCTTCTTTGATCCGTTGATTGTTCAGTAGCATTATGTTTAATCTCCACATATTTGTGAATTTTCGTTTTCTTCTTGTAATTGATTTCTAGTTTTATACCATCATGGTTGGAAAAGGTTCTTGATCTGTTTTCAGTCTTTTTAAATTTATTAAAACTTGTTTTGTAGCCTAACACATGATCTATCCTGGAGACTGTTCTGTGTGTGCTTGAGAAAAATGGGTATTCTGTTCCTTTTGGATGGAAAGTCAGGGCCATCTGGTCTAATGTGTCATTTAAAGCCATTGTTTCCTTGTTGATCTTACTGATATTCTGTTGGGATGATATCCATTGATGAAAGTGTGGTATTAATGTCCTCTACTATTATTGTATTGCTGTGTACTTGTCCCTTTAGGTCTGTTAATATTTGTTTTATATATTTAGGTGCTCCTGTGTTGGGGGCATAGATATTTACAAATGTTATATCCTCCTGTTGGGTATACTCCTTTATCATTATATAATAACCTTTTTTGTCTTTTATAGTCTTTGTCTTAAAGTCTATTTTGTTTGATACAAATATAGCTACTCCAGCTTTCTTTTGGTTTCCATTTGCATGGAATATCTTTTTACATCCCTTCTCTTTCAGTCTGTGTGTGTCCTAATCTGAGGTAAGTCTCTTGTAGGCAGCATATAGATGGTCTTGGTTTTTTATCCATTAAGGTACTCTATGTCTTTTGATAGGAGAATTTAGTCCACTTACCTTTAAAGTAATTGTTGATAGGTAGGTACTTATTGTCATTTTGTTAATTGTTTTGGCTGTTTTGTAAATTTCTGTTGCTTCTTTTCTTGCTCTCTTCCTTTGTGGTTTGGTGATTTTCTCTAGTAGTATGCTTATATTCCTTTTTTAAAAAAAATTATTTTGTGTATCTCCTGTAGGTTTCTGCTTTGTGGTTACTATGAGGCTTACATAAAACAACTTGTGTTTATAAGTCTATTTTAAGTTGATAACAGCTTAAGTTTGAATGCATCAAAGCTCTACATTTTTACTCTCCCCCATCCCTTTTATATTTTTGATGTCACAATTTGTCTTTTTATCTTGTGTATCCCTTTAAATAATTATTGTAGTTATACATTGTTTTGTGTGTGTGTGTGTGTGTGTGTGTATGTGTGTGTGTGAGAGGAAGACTGGCCCTGAGCTAATATCTTTTGTCAATCTTCCTCTTTTTGCTTGAGGAAGATTGCTGCTGAGCTAACATCTGTGCCAGTCCTCCTCTACTTTATGTGGGATGCCACCACAGCATGGCTTGACAAGTGGTGCTATGTCTGTGCCTGGGATCTGAACCTGCAAACCCCAGGCTGCTGAAGCAGAGCACGTAAACTTAACCACTACACCACCAGGCCAGACCTAATACTTATAATTTTTACTCCTTTTGCATTTTAACCTTCATTCTAGCTTTATAAGTGATTAGTCTACCACCTTTACTGTATATTTACCTTTACTGGTGAGATTTATCTTTTCATATGTTTTCTTGTTACTAATCTGCCCTAGCTCTTGGTTGTCTCTCAAATCTTTGTGATTCTCCAAGCAGCCTACCTTATTCTTAGTGGTTTACAGTAGATGAGGGTGTACCAAGACCTGTCAGTGTCCCAAAGGGGAGGACCTTAGTCAGCTCCTAGATTCAGGCTGATTGGAAGCCAGACTCTCATACAGCAGCTTTTAAAGTATTCAAATATACCTCTTTCAGGGGAAGACTTGGAGAAGGGGGCTTATGTCTGCTGCCTCTGCACTGAGCCCTGGGTTTACAGTCAGTTGAGAGTTTTTGCTACCATTCGTTGAATGTGTGAACACAAGCCCTGCTGGCCACCAGGGCCAAACTGTCAAGGGATGTGCCTTCTGGGTGGCAGCCACAAGAGCTGGGATGCCAGATTTGTACACAAGCTTCTTTCCTGGAGACACATGTGACCTGGGGCAGGGCAAATTTAGAATGTGAAGATGGTGCCTTTTGGCCTCCTCTGCCTCTGGAGAGGATTGTAGTTGGCCCCTTGATGTGTGTTTAATTAGAAGCTTGCCTCCTAGGCCACAACCATGAAGACAAGCTAATTGCCCTTTTTCACAGAAAGACTGGGGGTACGTTTCAGTCTACTATCTATGCTGTGCCTGGGAGCATAGCTGGTTAAGAACTGTCTCTCCACTACAGTCCTATGGGACCTGCAAATGTAAGCCCCCCTAACTGCCAGAGCCAGGCTATCAAAGGCGTCCCCTGGCAGACAGCTGATAAAACCGGGCATTAGATGTGTGCACAAGCTCCTTTTTGGGGGATTCTGGCAACCTGGAGCGAGGCAGAGGGAGAGTGTGAAGACAGTGTCCACCCTCCGAGGTCTCTGGAGAGGATTTCAGTGGGCCCCTGGATGTGTGTTTAATCAGAAGCCTGCGCCGCAGGTGGCAGCTATGAAGACAAGCTAATTGTTCTCTTTTACAAAAGGACTGTGTGTCAGTCTGCTGCCTCTCTGTTGTGCCCTGGGGCTGTAGCGAGTTAAGAACTGTCCCTCACAGTCCTATGGGCCCTGCTAGTGTAAGTCCCACTGCCCACCAGAGCCAGGAGATCAAAGGGTGTCTGCTGTATGGCAGCTACAAAAACCACGGTGCCAGACATGTGCACAAGCTTCTTTCTGGGAGATACCTGTGACCTGGAGTGACGCAGAGGGAGAGCACAAAGATGGTGCCTGCCGGCTCCTATCTTTGGAGAGTATTTCAGTAGGTCCCTAGATGTGGGTTAAATTAGGTGCCTAGCCCTCAGGCTGAAGCTTTAAGGTAGGCCAATAGGCCTCTTTCACAGAAAGACCGGCCCTTTTCAGTTGGCTGCTTCTGTGCTGGGCCCTGCGGTCGGGGAGGCCGTGAGAGCTTTTTTAAGAACTGTCTCTCAGGTTGCTATCGCCTTGTGGGTCTTGTGCATGCAAGCCTCATTGGCTTCAAAGCTAGATGTTTTGGGGGCTCATCTCTTAGATGCAAGTCTTAAATGTTGGGGTGCCTGATGTGGGGTTCAAATCCTTTCCTCTTTAGAGAAGCTCATGGTTGTTGAGTTCCTTCCCGATTGTGGGTCACCATGCTGGGGGTGGGTTTTTGGCAAGATTGTGTCTCAGCCTCTCCTATCCGCTTTGATGTGGGTTTTTTCTCATTTGCCCGATGCATAGGAGTTTTTGGGTTTTTTTCATTCAGAGGGAATTGTTGTGTATGTAATTCGAGATTTGGTGTGTCTGTGGGGAGGAGATGTGTTCAGGATCCTCCTGTGTCGCCATCTTGACCCAGAACCTTGTAAATTTAATTTCTAAGAGAAGGGCTATGGTATGTGGTCACAGAATACTTTTCCCATGGGGCATCACAAGAACTAGTATTATTTACATACATATATACAATAAACTGATATGGCAGGCAAAATTTTAAGATGGCTCCTAATAGCCCCATCTTCTGGTGTACACACACCTTCTCTCAGTTATCCAATCAAATACAAATCTAGGTACTGCTTTGAAGGGATTCTGCAGTTGTAATTAGTTCTCAAATCAGGTGATTTTAAGAGCCTGGCTTAAACAGGTGATCTCTTGAAGGGGGCTGGGCCCTTCTTTAACAAGAGAGTCAATCTATGAGGGGGATTTGTCGTGAGGGAGATTCTCACTGCTAGTTTTGAAGATGGAGGGGACCACGTGATAAGAACGCAGGTGGCCTGCAGGAGTTGAGAGTGGCTCCTGGCTCTCAAGCTCCAAATGAGAATGTGGTCCAGTGGACACAGTCATTTGAGCCTTGTAAGACTGAGCAGAGAACCCAGCCATATCGTGTCTGAACTTCTGACCTACAGAACTGTGAGCTAATAAATGAGAGTTGTTTTAAGCCTCTAAGTTTGTACTAATTTATTATTCCAGTAGCAATAGAAAACTAAAACTGAATTTTTGCTTCACAAAATTGCAACTGTTATTTGTTAAATATTTATTGATGTTAAATCCACATTACACCAGCACAACAATCCAAAGTAGTATGATAGCACTTTGTCTTTTTATAAATACAACATAAAAGGTGGCAAAATAATGCTACTTAATCCCAAACCCAGCAAATTAGCAAAAAGTCACATTCAGAAAAATTTGGCAAGTAAGATATGACATAAGTCATACTTCTACAATATAGATAGGCCCAAGAGAGACTTTTATGGTATCTTAAATTCTGTATTAGCAATGCGTATAAGTGTGGTCAAAGAAAACTGTACCACTCTGCATAGAACATCTGCCACCCAGTGCTCAATTCTATTAATCATTTAAAACTTGGTTGGTTGGTGTTCTTAAAAAGAATAGAAAGCTGGACATGTGAAGCAGTAATATGAAATATATGGGGTGGTACACAGATATAAAATTATTTTTAAAAATACTACATATTGAATTGAGTAACTGAGCTAAGAGAGTTCAACATTTTTATTATAAATAATGAAAGATATATGTGTTTTGCATAAGGAATACAGTGTTTTCTTTTCATAGCAAAGTACCATTAAAGCCTCATGTTTTATAATATTAGGCCAAATTGTTTTTTCTCCTTTTTAAAGTTTATTGGTTCCGACTTAAAACCATCAAGTCTGGTCAGAATCAACTCAATCTAGCTGATGTGGAATCATAGGCCTTCACAGCTCAGTCCTTGCTGAGATGCCTTTACAAACACTCGGAACCCAGCACCTTCTGAAGGCCAGGTGTCGTGGCAGCAGGGAAGTGAATGAATATTTTCCATTCACCGTAGCTCGGTGCCATTGAAATAAATACATTTTGGCACAAACCTGTTTTCGTCTCCCCTAAGTCTCCATTTCCCTCAAGCACACTAGATCCTACAGGCAGTTTCTCGCTTATGCCAGTCTTGCAGTCTCAGTCCATTTTCAACTTACTCGACACATCTAAACTCTTCAGCTACCACACAAACTTCGACACACTGAAATTTCCATAGCAAACTTCCAGCCAACCCTAGATTCCCTAACTTGTGAATGGCAGTGTTTTTTTCACCCACATTTTAGACTAATTTTGAAGAAAACCAAAGAAAAGCCTGGCCTTTACCATGTCTCCTGCCCCTTCTGCTTTTCTCTAAGTGAATTCACTGAGTGCGCTGGCAGCATTTTCCTTCATTCTCCTCCCTGCTTCCAAACCCGTTTCCTCCAAATACTATGCCTTGGTCATGTGGGTGGTCTGGATGCCTTCTGTGGAATGGACTGTTTGTTTGTTAATATAGTTCTGCGTTATTCAGAATACTTTATATTACTTATATTTAAATTAGCCTTTTAACATGGTTTGTAAGTTTCCTACCAAGGTAGCATGAAAAGAAAATACTACACATAAAGAAAAAAAGGTTAAGAACTAAGGTATTAACCTTGTTAGAAAACTCTTGATACTAATAAAATTTAAGTCAAGTAATTCCTTCCTTATGATTTAATGTAAAACAATTTGCAAAGACAAGGCATTTACTTGGATTTCTTTGTCATTTCCTCTTCCTTTTTCATCCTCACATATTGCACTTGGTTCACTGTAGCTGTCTGAAGACACTGCCACTTGAGGATCATTTTAGAATTATTTGTGGTACAATTGCATCTTGTTCAGCACCCCACACGGTCATGCTATGTAGCACCTATAGCTAGTGTTTAAAGGCACTAGGGATAGTACAAATTGTGGTTACCTTTGAACAACTGATTTCCTTTAGCATTTTGGCATTTCAGACCACTTTAATCACAGCAATTCCAAAAGTTTTAAATTGGATGATGAACGTGAATTTTCTGTGCAATGTGTACATTTCTATTAGCATCGCCTACTTAAACTCTAAGTTAAGTTTGGTATATCAAGTAAGAAAAATATTATTTTGGTGTCTTTTTATTTCTTATAGAAATAGAAGGTATGTTTTTTGCCTTTTACATAATGTGACAAAGGAATATGTTGGTCAAGGCAATGGCTGTTTCAGTGTTTCAGCTTTGACAAGAATGTTGGCTTACAGGTCCTCACTTTCTACCAGGCCGGTATTCAGTGTTAGGTGAGATGGACTGGCTTCAGGTTGGAACGCTGCCTTGATGTCTAGTCCCTGGTCCGAAAGTGCTGCATAGCGACTGGCTGAGGGCCGTACTTTTTTTGGCTTGGTGCTCTGTGGCTGCTGATGCCACTGGGCTACAAGGAAAAAAAAAAAAATTAAGATTTTTTTTTTTAAACCAAGATATAAGTGGAAAGCTCTTAGATGTTTCAAATAAATACAGAATGTCTTTTGATCTATACCAGGTACATGTTCCTTCTGAACACATCCATGGTAGAAATTCTAAAATTTAAGGGTAGTTTTGTATTTCACTCATATGTTGCAGATTTAGTGTCTATACAGGGTAGTAGGACTACCATAGCTAGATGATAAAGATCAAGTGTAGTTGATCTCTATTTTAAAGTAAATACTTACTGCAGCACAGGGAATCCTCTGAAATAGTCACCTCCCCTAATTTGCACCTCCCCCCTCTTTTAAAAAAAAATCTTCAAAGCTCAAAATGTATAAATGTCACAGTAATTATAGTAGTTAGGTATTCTGGATGGATGTTTTCACACTAATCGATTGAAAGGAACTGGGCACTAGGGAAGGCTGAGGTCACTCATTCCCTGAAGAACCCCACAAAGTTATTTCTTATTCAAGAAGAGGTAAAATTTGAAGTCTGTTCTTAATTTTTTCTGGTGGTTTTCTTTATGTCAGTAGATGACATAATACTATTGTACTAGTTTTTCAATTCAGTACAAATGATTTTCTTTAAATTTAGAATTCAGGTATACAAATATACATACACAAACACTCACAAACCTAGTGCTGAGCTGCTTAAAATATATTAATGAGAAAAGCACTAAGCCACAAAAGTATGCATTCCCGGATCAATGATACACACATTCAGAGTGCATTAAGACACTGTGATGGGATTATAACATAGGAAGAGATGTTAAAAGGCAGTCATTTGCAGAACACAGTAACGGAAAATGTGAAAAAAACATGTGGTTATGCCTTTGCCTACTGTTAACTCCTAAGGATGCTTCAGTAAGTAAACCACAGCTGACTAGCCAACGTCAGAGAAATCAACATGCATGTTTTTCTAATAATGCAAAGTTCCTGAATGATACTTGGGTATTTGTTCTCCTGGTGTAGATCACTATTAATGTTGAGAAACTATAAATAGAAAGAGAAAGAGCAATATGAAGTTTTTGGCAAATAAAACACTATGGTTGTTTATAAGATTATATAAAAGTAACATGACTTGCAGTCCAAATGTCTACTTTTTCACAATTTAATGAATAAATGCAACAAGATGAGATGAAGTGGCACTCACTGTAAACGTCGAGCCTGGCAGTACAGGACACAATCCCCGCTTCATTCTTGGCTGACACCGTGTACCACCCAGCGTCTTCTTTTGTGGCTCCCTGAATGAGCAGGCAGATGTAGCCGTAATTATCCTGGTGCATGCTGGAGGAAAGGATAAAGTCATTAGGGTTCTAAATTTTTAAAAAGTGGCTTTGGACACGAAGCATCATTTTTAATTAGATCAATAGAAACGGAATTGGGCAAGTGGCGGATAATAGGGTCATACTTATTCTGGAGAGGCTGCTAGCCCCATTAAAGTTAATGGGAGAGAAGAAGAGACGTCAAGAGGTCGAATAAATCTGTGCACTTAATTTCTAGATGAAGATCTGCCTTTACAAAAACCACTGAAGTTTCTCTATCACCATCGAAGCAAATGAATTCATCTTTTAGATATAAACACTTAAACAAACATCACCATTAGATTAAGTTAGAATGTGTTTCATCACATACTATTATAGCTTCTCTCTAAAAGCTTAATCATACATTATGGTAAAGAGTGATTTTTGTCTTTGATATCATCAATAGCATGACCCTTACACAGATTTACACACTATATAAAGTGTATCTTTTTATGTATCATTAGGACTGAGCAGTCGTGGATTAGGTTAAGTCATTGGGTATTCTCACCTCACTCGGTCAGTGCTGTGAGTGAGTGATTCATTTTCTTTCTTCCAAAATATCTGAGGCGGTGGCACTCCTGAAACACGGCATTCCAGGCGCACTGGGTACCCATCAGCAACTCCTGTGTTTTGCAGCTTCTCGATAAACACGGGGGGTTTGTGTGCTTCTTTAGCTAAGAAAACATGAGATGAATTATCTATCAGCGATATAAAAAAGGAGGACTACAAAGAATTCAGAAGCTTTTAGCAATATTGTGTAAATAGACCTTTTATTTTATGATACCATTTTTCACTTCAGGTGGTAAGATGCTAAGTCCTCTCTCCAAATTATTCTTTTACCAAGAAGGGTTCCTATGCTTCATTCCACTCATTTATTTCCTCCATTAATTCAAGTCTGACAGGCCCACACAGTCCACTGGCCATCTGCCCCACACAATGCCTGTCTGACAGGCTGCATGAGACTCCTAAGTCATTGCTAGCATCTGGGATGGCTTCAGTACTAATTATGTTACCGTGAACTCACAGCCTTTACCAACCACTGCCACCTAGTGCCGCTGAGACAGACAAGCATTTCTAGGAGTCTGATCCACTTAGATTCCCTCCCTGGTATCTGAAATGTTTGCTAGGGAGATTCTGAAGATTTGCAAGCCCTGGCTTAAGTGAGACATACCATAAGACTTATGGGGGGGGGGGGTGGCATCTTTACCTAAATTTGGCAGGCTTAAATAGTTACCTATAAACTAGGAATGTATATCCTATAAATTATAAATTTTAATTTGTATTCTTTGAAGGAAGTTATAAAAAAGACAACTTTATTACCACCTTGAAGGAAGGAAGCCATAAAAAAAGAACTGTATTTACATAGTCTGAAAAAATCAGAACTGACTGTTAATAATACTCTAAATGTTACCATCCAGTGGGAACTGTTTTCTTGGGTGTGTGGTGGCAACAATTTCAGAGAAAGAATAAGGTTTAGTTATTTTCTTCTGAGCTACCAACGGTGAATTTGAGGATGCGTGTCCTTCTCCACCACCCCCTCATCTTAGTGACAAATATATCAAAGCAAAGAAGCCAGGGGAGAGCCGAGTGAAGGGGATAAAAATTCTACCTGAAATGTTCAAATACTTTACTTAAGACTCTCTAAGACCTTGGATTATGTAGAGGGTTGTATTTTTATTGATCTTTACATAGTTACCTTACCTGACCTAGTCTATTTTGGGGCAAGTGGGAACAGACTTCACTTAGTATTCTTTCTGGGTCCCAGTTTTGAAAAGAGCATAAAATGTATAAAACGAGCCTTAATGTCATAACCACTTGCCAGTAAGAATAACATCTACCATTTTGGAGCATTGCTATATAGGATACTGGTGATACAGAGCTTCACACGATTTAATCCTTGTAAAAACCGTGAGGCATTATGGTCTCCACTTTACAGATGGGGAAATTGAGTTGCGGAGTGTTCTATATTTGCCAGAGGACGCAGGCGGTAAATGAGAGCTGGGATTGGAACTGAGATCTGATGCCGAAGACTTTGCTTCCAATTACTGTGCACTGCCATCTTCTCATGGAAGTGCTGAGGCATACCAAGATGTCTACGTCTCTTAGACCCTCAAGGCTCAGGCCTGAAGGACAGGTCTGATCAAAAGACACACTTAACAGGAGAAAACTGAACAGTTTTAGTCTAAAGAGAGGCTAGTCAGAGGAATGAATGAAATTGACCCTAGTATGTAGTAATACTGAATAGCTTACACAAAATTTAAAAGCATGGCTAAGACATAGCACCAAAATCCATATACTGACCATGTTTTTGTGTGAAAACGTCTTGGTACTATCATTAGAATGGTTAGCCAGGATTTTAGCCAGGACCTCCTGGGCTTTATTGTCATTGCTCCTCTATTTCTTGACAGAACTCAGAGGCTCACCGTGTTTGGGAGAGCACTAGGAGTCGACAGACCATCTGAGTCAGGCATTCAGCTTAGTAAATGGGACCCTGGGAGGGTAACTTGATCTCTCTAAGTCTAATTTCCACATCTATGAAATGAGGAGGAAAATTTCCTCGGATTCCCTCACAGGGCTGTTGTGAGGACCAACTGGGATAATGTATATGAAGCACTTTGCAAATAGAGGGCTGAGAAGTAAACATTATGTTTTGTTATTTTTTTTAAAAAAAGAAGATAGAATCTTTACTTACGCTCAACTCCTAAGGATGGTATAAACCTTTCCATAAATATATTCTCCTTATCTAAGGGTAAGACTTCATATAACAATACTTTTACAGTATAATCGGTTAAAAAGCAAATCTGGGGCCGGCCCTGTGGCCAAGTGGTTAAGTTCGCGCGCTGCGCTTTGGCGGCCCAGGGTTTCTCTGGTTCGGATCCTGGGCGCGGACATGGCACTGCTGGTCAGGCCACGATAAGGCAGCGTCCTATACGCCACAACTAGAACGACCCACAACTAAAATGTACAACTATGTACTGGGGGGATTTGGGGAGAAAAAGCAGGAAAAAAAAAAAAAGATTGGCAAGAGTTGTTAGCTCAGGTGCCAATCTTTATTAAAAAAAAAAAAGCAAATCTGACGGGGCCGGCCCCGTGGCCGAGTAGTTAAGTTCGCGCGCTCCGCTGCAGGCGGCCCAGTGTTTCGTTGCTTCGAATCCTGGGCGCGGACATGGCACTGCTCATCAAACCAAGCTGAGGCAGCGTCCCACATGCCACAACTAGAAGGACCCACAACGAAGAAAATACAACTATGTACCAGGGGGCTTTGGGGAGAAAAAGGAAAAAAATAAAATCTTAAAAAAAAAAAAAAAAAAGCAAATCTGAATTTAATTGGACTGTGACACTGGAGGTAGATGATAATGTTGTTTACATTTTTGAACTCTGAAATCAATGCACATTATCTTACTTTAAAAACTAGGTATATATGTGGAACTCTATGCATAAAAATATGCTTAGACACCAAGTTTGGTTCTTGGAGCCCATGTTGCTGTTGTTCTTTGCCTAGTGACACTGGGGGCCCACAGACACGAGATGCAGAATGACCCAAAAAGCTGCTAAAACTCCATTTCTTTCTTGGCCAGGCTACTGGGAGAAAGGAAGGATAAATAAGAATGGCTACACTGAAGAAAAGTCAATGCTTCTCATTTGCTAAGCCTTATAACATGTGCTATTTGGCTATTTTCATGATACAATCTATTTTTTCAACAGCTGGATTTATTTTCCAAATTGGTTAATAATGCAGGATTAGTTTACATTTCTGAATCTGATGAGCATTCTGGGAGAGAGAAAGGATTCAGAGACAAGCCAGCCTACCAGCAACCACAAGCTCCAGGCTGAATGAGTTCTGTCCTGCTCGATTGGTGGCTATACACGTGTAGATGCCGGCATCTCGTGATGTGACTGGCTCTATGATGAGAGAATGCACCCCATTCTCACGCACGAGCATCTTGTGAGCACTGTCTGGGCGGATTGGCTTCCCATCTAGCTGCCAGCTGAGATCTGGGGTTGGTAACCCACTGACCTACACCAGAAAGGAAATTCATATAAATTTCTCTAATATTAAAACAGAATGAAATCACTAATAGCTAACAAACCAGCGTAAAGTCCTCCTTTGAGAGTACAAGAGATGGGTTTTAGTATCAACTCATGTTACTTCTCCTCCTTAAAACCTTTCAATGGCTTCCTAAGCACTCACAGGTCACTTCTAAACATTTCTTATAGAGCAACATAGAGAAAAGTGAAATGAGGATTAAAAAATTTCTGTCCTTGTTTTACTTCACCCAAGGTTATTAAGATTACTATGATGATGTCAGCACAGGGCTCTGAGCTCTCTGGAAAAAAGACATCCAACCGTAATAACAATGACAAATACTCAGCTGGCATTTGTACACTATAAAGCGTCCCACTGAGGAGCTGCCATAGCTACGGAGACATTAGTTAATGCACCCATCAGCACATAGGGCTATTATTATTTTATAATCCTTGAAACTAAGTAACAAAAGCAACATAAAATTACCCAGAAAGCGGTCTCAACAAATTAGCATCACAATGGAAGCATCATAAAATCTTGAGACCATGACAGTTGTGTTGACCAGAGATCAGATAAAAGTGCATTTAATTGCTAATAACACATTGTGCTGTGAAGGGTAGGGATGGCTGCCATCTGTCAGCTCTTTACAGTTTTGCCTTTGATTTTGAATGGGGAGAAAAGCACCATTAAGGAAGGTCTTTTTACCCCCACCCCAAATTTACCAGTGGGAAATTACATATAAAAAGATGTCATTCAGCTTGTAAAACAATTCCTTTGAAGAACCAGCTCTGCCAAAATCAGCTAAGAGAACTCACAAATTCCATTCCTGCTGCGTGATTTTCATTTACACTGCCTACAAGATGCCTCCCCTCACACATGTAGCAAAGTCAGTCTAGGGAATTTAAAAAAAGGAAATACAGTAAATTCAAGTTACTAGTTAGAAGGATGAAGAGATTTTAGAAACCGCAGTAGTTAGGCAGCTTGGCTTCTCCGAGGGTCAGGCTCTCTGTTCTCCTATCTGTCAACGGGCTGTCCCCCAGCTTCCTGCTTTACCTGTCTGGAGGTCAGCAGAGGTGGGCGGGAGGAAGAGCAGACACTTGTGATCAGGCCCCAGGCCTTCCCAAGTTGAGAAATGAAGTGGCACTGCTTGTTCCCACTTTACTAGCTTAGACCCTAGACGAGCAGAGCCATGTACTGACTGAGGCCATGGTACGTTGAGTAGGGAGATGCCCAAAGCACTGTGCTCTCTCGCCCCACCTGATTCACCGTGTACCTAGCCAATGGACAGAGTTATTCACATTAAGGCACAGGGAAAACGCCCGGTTCTTCTACCCCTCTTCTAACCCCAGCCCTCCCTGTTGTGTAAGTAAAGAAAGCCTGATCTCAGGAATTTAAGGTCATTGTAAGCAGGTCTTAATTTGAACTGATCCATGCTTTTGGTTGACATGGAAAAGGGAGGCGGGAGAGGAGCATACTTGTTACTAGAGGAGTGGGATTACTTATTTTCCCTTATGACTCAGTACCAAGTCAAGGGTAGTCAGTGTCTAGGAATGTACCTAAAGGGTTAAAAACGGGAGTGCTTTCTGGGGAAAAACCTAGCTGTTGCTTTAGTGATTGGCTTATTTTCATGATTCTTTTCCCTCTTAAAGCTTAAATACACTAATAATTTTTTCCCCCTGAATTGGGTCACACTCCATCTGTGAACAGATGACAAGATTTTCCACAACATTTTATTTATCCAGGTCAGATCATAATAATGAAATCAAGAAGCAGAGATAACATTTTGTTTCCAATATTCTTTTTTAAAGACAGGCATTTCAAGGACAGTTATGTCATTGTGCACTGAAATAAAATACCATGATTTCTTTCTTAAATATGATTAAAAGTAAAGCTAATAGTATGGTGAATTTCTATGTATCTATCATCTAGATTCACTCTCTTCTATAACTTATACTTTAAGGCAGATCCCAGACTTATGTAATTCTACTCCTCTGTAGCTCATATCATGCTAAAAAATATAGGTTTTTCTTACAAATAGAACATTCTTTTTACACATAAATTAATAATAATCCCTTAGTATCATCTAATAATCTGTCTAAAATAAAATTTCCCGTTAACTCAAATCTCATTTTGCAGGTGGTCTGTATGAATTGTTAGTTATAGACCAAAAATAAACACACATAATATAAATATACACACACTGAAACTCAGTTTGTGTGTTCATACTGTAAAAAGAATTATGCAGGAAAATAAAATACTTTTGTTAAGAATACATTTGTTTTTATACATTTCTACAAGCCTAGATTTCCTTTTTGAAAAAATAAAGCCCAAATCCTCTAAGCACCTTATTATTTGTGTTCTGCAAGCCCAGAGAGAACCAGCAGAGGGAGCCCAAATAATTCTTAAAAACCTTATCCATATTTAAGAGCTAAATTTTAAATTTAAGATCAATAAATAATGGGGCAAAACCCCCCAAAACTATCCAAAAAATTTCAGAACAGTGGTTCTTAAAAATTTTTGGCCTTGAGCTCCTTTGAGAAATTGATGAAAGCTGTATCACACACACAATTTCATGTGCAATTTCAGTTCATCACCTAATAAAACTGGCTTATGCACGGACCCTGGATAAGAAACCCTGCTGTAAAATGCATGAAAGAAGGATGCCACCCTAACTTCTCTGAGAAAGAGAAAATAGGAGGAATAAAAATCAAAGTAGATACATGGATACAAAATCTGAATGAATCAAGAATGAAGATCAACTAATTAATGATTAGGACATATGACAGATTCAGTACATTATTACTTCAACACAATGGAAAACTTAAAGGGATAAAACTGCCCAGTGACTTCTAGACTACAGTATCTAGAGTTCTAAATAAAGAACATATTTAATAAAATTTTTAAGTAAAGGAAAAGAATGATTTAAAACAGTATATAAACACCCAGTATATTTTACCTTTTTTTCTCTTAAGCTGGAAAACATTTTAAAGATGTATACTTTACATAATTTCCCCAAAAGGAACTAAAGAGAAATGGCAGTGAGGAGAAAAGGGAGCCAACAGATTTGCAGGCAATAAGAAACTCTTACTTTGCAATCCATCCTGCAGAGTTTTCCTTCTTGAACAGTCAGATCGCCAGGAGCCTGCAAGAAGTGAGGTCTGAAGAAGCGCTCCTGAATTGGTTCATTTTCATCTCCACTGTCCCTTGATCTAGAACGAGGCCTTAGAACAAGATAGATAATAGATAGATAGAAAGAAAGATAGTAGTTATTTCCAGGATCTTAGTCATCTGTTTTTTAATAATACATGGGGTAATAATAGAATTCCCTTACCTGCTTCCTACCTTCAAGATTTACACATGACAAAGTCAGAAAAGCAAAATCTTGTTTCATTTCAAAGTTTATTATAAATTTTACAGTCTGCTAATTGCAGATCTTAAACAATTCTGCTGTCCTATTCCTTAAAGCTAGTATAAATCATTAAAGGTGTAAAAGGAAAAAATGGGGTATTCTACATTAACCTACTTTTTCCTAAATAAATATTTTTAAAGCTTATGAGAAACAGCAGCAGCTGTTGCTCACTTCTCATTTATTTCCAAATCTTTTTCAACAGAAATTACTATAACTTTCACTGTGATTTTAAATATATGGGAAATTAAAAGTTCTTATTATTTTGTGAAAATTTAAGATCTTTCAAATCAAAATTCCTCTTCATATTAACCAGGAAAACGAATGTTTAGGTAGGTTTTCTTTTGCATCAGTTATCCATGTGCCTAAAGACAATATTTTTTTTGCTTTAAAATAAAATGGTTCAAATCTCCAAGATTTTGTGCATTTCTCTTGCTTTTAAATATGTTGCCAGAGGTACCTGCAAGGGCAATACAATTTAAAGTAATTGCAAGGAAGACTTAAGAAAAGAACAAGATGTTGAACACAAAATCTGTTAGTAATCACTAGAAGGTAAGTTTAAAAACATTTAACTAGGAAAAGTAAGGGTGGAACAAATGAAAGATTAGTATAATAGGCTAATAATTATCAGCTTTTTGTTATGGTTTACTCTTCTCCAAGTACAGATCTAATTTATGAGCAGAATGCTTTTCCAGGAGACACTGACACATGGGAAAGCTTAAATGTATTAAGACCTCAAGAAAAGCAGAAGAAAATAATGTAGGAGAATGGATATGCCATTAAATATGTTAGCAGCCATAGATACAGGCCTAGGATCCTGTGAACAGATAGTGCCACAAATCAGTTAGAATTAAATCTGCAGCTGCTTGGGTGCCAGAACTGTCTTCCGAATGTTGAACAAGGGCTATGTGGATCCAATAATGTCAGGAGGTGTACACACACCATTGGTTTGCTGCTTCTCAGTTTTTCCTGCTTACCTTGCATGAGCCTATGTTAGCATGCATTCTCTCCACCAAAGGTGTTTGCACCTGTGGCCTGTAGTTTATAGTCAGGACTATTTGAGCATGCTCTGTCTCTAAAACGTCTAAATAGGAGCCCAAGATGACAGGCTGGGTGACTTCGCATTTTCCTTTTTAAGTGCAGACATGTTACTAAGAAGTAATATGCTCTCCCTGTCCCTGCCTTCCGTTATTGTGTCAGCATCCTTGCATAAACTCGGGGCTACTAGGAACGGAAAGCACACTCTATTTAGCAGCTATTTGTTGAACATTTAAAATATGACAAATCTTACCTACGAGATTATGGTCTAAAATAAACTTTTGAAATAAGTGACTGAAAAATAAACATTAGCAAACTAGCTGATTTTAAGAAGTCTAGTGGCAGTAGCTTATAATGGTCAATCCCACAGCTGTTGATTAGAGCAGTTGGGTTTTGAACATTTACTTGTGTACCATTTACTAGTATTTCCATGTTAATGTGCCTACCTTTTAAAGGTGCTGAGTCTTGATTTCCTCATATATAAATTGGGCCCTTAGTTAACAGCTAGTGATGGTATGTCTGAACAGGCTTATACACGTTAGCAAATGTCTGTTCCCTTCCCCTTTCTGAGTTGCAGAGGAGCATAACAATCAAGGAGGCATACACTGTACAGACTTTAAGACTATATTCACATTCTGTCTTCCAACTATGCTATGATTCTAAGAGTGTTGAATTCATACTAATAAATAAAGTAATAGTAACACCTATGGGAAGGAGTATCTGAAATACCTTCTGACATGAGGATGGCCTGAGGGAGAGCGGGGACTGCGACCTCTTTGGTTGACAGCCTGTACCATTAGCCGTCCAGTACAACTGATGCGGCCCTGTCAGAGACATCAGGAAAAGAAATTATTTGCTATGTTAAACAACTAACCATTAAGCACTATCACGTCTATTGTCCTATTCCCTATAAGACATTATTTCTTAACAAATCAGTGTGCCATATTAGTATTGATGCCAACCCTTTCAGAAATGTACTTTCCCTGAGTTAACTCCTCAGGAAAACTGTATTTATTTAAAGAACTCAGGGGACAAGGTCTTTATCTGAACTGTTAAATAAGCTTTACTGTTTTATCTAGGATGGCATTTAAAATGACAACCCTCACTGAATTAATTGTAATCTGCTACGGTCTCCTTAACACATGAAGTTGAGTTGTAAAATATAGCAGGAGGACATTACTGTCTTGTGATAATTCCATTTCATGGTCAAATATCTAGTGGTTGTAGCTAATTCTGAAATCAAACTAGATGATTTTAGTTTTCTGTCAGATCTTTTTAATATATTTATTAAATGTTACTAGTATCCTTTCTGAAAACCACATATTACGAGATGCCAGCATGATAAAATGAGCATTACATAAGAAGTATGCATGGGGATGACAAGGAGAGCATAATGACTATAGGACACTATGTTCGCATGAAATGAACATATTTGAGATTTAAAAACCAGAAGCAGTTAAATACCTAAAATATGTGAGTCGTATGATAAGAACTATCTAATGAAAAGCTCTATTTTCTCTCTTAAATTTGTCGATTGAAAATCTGTTACATGCTGTCATAGGGATAAACAAAAGTAATACTTAGAGGAGCCAGATGACACGAATAAACGACACATTGTTACTCTGGCTTTTTGTTTTAGCCCCCTCTCTTTAATTTTTTTCCTTCACTATTACTAGCAGAGTAGCAAAAGAGAAGATTTTATCCCCCACTTTCTGCTCTCATCCCCCAGGAGAATGAGCAGATGTACTTCTAAATTCTGACGATGGCCAAAAAAAATGAAACAACAAGAGAGGAAAAATGAGAAGCAGATTTATTCTTAATGATTAAAGATAGTGAATTCTAGTTCAAGGTTGACAAGCAGCCCTCATGTGCACTTACAGTCAAAATAAAATTTACCACTGACTCCCATTTTCATTCCAGGTTGCCAATATAGACAGGTAACAGAAGCAGAGGTGTTCTGTTTGTTTTGAAGAACTGCTTTCTGAGTTGCAACTGAGAATGGACTGGGGTGAGGGAGAGGACACTGGTGGAGGGAATATAGAGAAAAAAACCCCCAGCAGGGTTCAGTGTAGGGCAGGAATTCAGTCAGTGGGGCTCTCCAGGTCTCCCTAAAGCCTGGAACTCTCTAGGACCATAATCACCCAGAAAAGAGAATGCAGATAGTATGTAATACAGACAGGAAGAGTTAGGAATTACCAAATAGAAAGAGGTAGTAGTAAAGAAACACACTCAAGGAGTCTTATACCATCAGATGTATAACTTCCTCTAGCAGTCACAATATTTGCTATCGAGGTCACAGTTAAAACACTGCCTTTCCTGAAAATTCCCAAGGACATGAAGTATAACATTATGAAGGGGAATTATTTCTAACTTAGATTAATTGTATCTAAAAGTTCAGGTCACATGATATAAGTTCTCTCATGCTGAGCTCTTGGCAAACACTTAGGATTCCCTAAGCTAGCTTGAAATCTGAAAATTTCATTTACTGCTTCCACCCAATCTATCCCTGCTGTAGAAATCAAGATGTGACTTGCTTAGAAGACCCCCATTATAAATTAGCCAACTGATGCATCCTAGTAGAGGCTTTAACATAAGAACATGTAAGATCCATGATTGTTTTTGGAGCTTGAGGGCAAGGTAGTCTATGTTTTGTTTGACACAAATAGCTTCAACTGTACTGATAATGGGATATGGTTTCCTGACTATTTGCTTTGCTGCTTCAACAAATAATTTGAATTTGGACAGACTAAAATAGATTTGTATAATTTGGATAGATTTTTCCTTGTAGTATAAAACCCAGAGGGTCCACAAGGGAAGTTAATATTAACTAATCATTTATGTAGTTAGAAAGAGATATGTTAAATTCAACCTTCAACCTTGAATTTGGGGAAGCAGATACTGGTTGCTTAAAAAAAAATTTCTCTAAACTGGATTTGAGTTTTAACTTTCCTAAAACTTTGGGCAAATCACTGAATTTGTTCAAGCCTTTGTTTCTTCTGTAAAAACTGGGGCACTATATCCAGCTCACAAGGATGTTATGAAGATTAAATGATATAACCTTAGATGATCTTCTAAATATCAAATAGTACTTGTCATAAATTATCATTAGTAAATTCATCATTGCTAGTATTGTGTTACTGTGGGTCTGAGACATTATATACGCATAGACATGCATCAAGATGATTTTTAGGGGTCCAAGTGGCTTGGCTGACTTCAGTAAAATTTCCCAAGGGGATAATACTTTGCTTGAGGTATGCTCTTACCTCCTTGTTTTTTTTTGGTGAGGAAGATTGGCCCTGAGCTAACATCTATGCCAATCTTCCTCTATTTTGTATGTGGGACGCTGCCACAGCATGACTTGATGAGTGGTGCATAGGTCAGCACCCAGGATCCTAACTGGCAAACCCCAGACCACCAAAGCGGAAAGCATGACCTTAACCACTACACCACTGGGCTGGCCCCTCATACCTCCTTTCTTTCTTCTTCTTTTTTTAAAGATTGGCACCTGAGCTAACAACTGTTGCCAATCTTCTTTTTTTTTTTCCTGCTTTTTCTCCCCAAATCCCCCCAGTATATAGTTGTATATTTTAGTTGTGGGTCCTTCTAGTTGTGGCATGTGGGACGCTGCCTCAATGTGGCCTGACGAGTGGTGCCTGACGGGTGGATCCGAACCAGTGAACCAGTAGAACTCGCGAACTTAACCACTCGGCCACGGGGCCGGCCCATACCTCCTTTCTTGATTCCTTCAAATACCTCTTTTAACCAATGCTCCTGCCCCTCAATGCTCCTAATATTGGGAGGAGCCCCAGACACCTTTGTATGACACTCCTTAGCTCTGGAGTCAGTCTGTTTGTAAACCAGTTCTTTCCCTTACAGCTGAGTGACTTGAGGCAAGTAACATAACTCCTAAATAAAAGTTTCTTCATCTGTAAAATAGGATCATATAGTTAATCCTGCATGGGTTCTTATGAAGATTAAATGAGTTAAAAGGTGTAAAGTACTTGGTGTTGTGTTTTGCATACAGTAAATGCTCAAAATGTTAAATGATTATAGCACGGAATATGGGTATAATATAATAACAACCAGATGAATATGAAGCATCCCTTAGAATTGTTTTGTTAAACACTATTTTTTTTTCATATGTAATGGCATTTATTTTTCTTTTCTTTTTTTGTTATTAGGATATAATTCACTCCAAAAGAAAAACGAAATACTCTTGGCACAGGAAGCAGAATATGTGGAGAGTAGATCAACCTTTCTAACTTAGGCGAGTGCAGGAAAGGTGCCAAGCACACAGGTATATTCAATGTGTGTGTTTGTGCGATGGCTGCATTTGAGGTATAAGATGAAAGATGTTCTACTCAACTCTAACCATTTGACTATGCTTAGGATAAACCCTACCTCCCTCTCCCCGCTCCAAAAATAGGGTAAACAGGTTGGTGTACTACTCTGTAAAGACTACACATTTCTACAACATTCTCAAGATTTTTACTGCTACTGCTTAGAACCATATGCACAATTATCACCACAGTATATTTCCTTAACTTCTGAAATTTCGGAAAGAGGAATATGTTACCATTTTTCACCTTTTTACTCCTACATCATCCTTTACTTGTGAACATAAAGGAGAAAGGCATGGTCTGCAGGAGGAAGAAGTATCAGTTTCATAATATAGTGTTATTGGCTAAATATATTACTAATCAATAAATGACGAGAAGCACTTAGAAAGCATCCACACTAACAAGTTGTAGAATTTTGACATTTTTGTTTGAAAAAAAAAAATCCGGATTTCAGTGAAGCATTTTTGAAAAGATGCCTCCAACGTGTACAACTGAAAGTTTAGGTTTTTAAGTCTAAATGTCTTATTTATGAGGAAAATCATACAAAATGAGCATTAAATAATTTTAATCATACTAACGTGCCAGTTAACCCTAATAATCATCATAATTAGTAGGCTCTGATGCACATGAATGCTGCTGTTGTATTTGCTTTTATCTTTCTTTTTTCTATCTGCTTTATTATTAACACATGAAGTAACAATGTAAGTGAATGTTTAAAGTGAAGTTTGAAATGAGCCAGGAAACCTTATAATGCTAAAACAAAACACAATCAAGAAACCAACTTTTTAAATTTAACTCAGCTGTGTGTTACTTTTCTATTCCAAACAAGTCCACAGAGTTTAAAGCTATATAGCACAAGTAATAAGTTTGAATTCTTAAAGCGATTCTGTATTAAACATCCAGCTTGTAAAGATTATTTGATGCCTCATGAAAGGCCAATTATTTATAGAATATGGAAGTAACATTTATATTTCCTAGCGTATGAAATTGAACTTGTGGCGCACAGGTCTTTGTGAAAGCTTGCCACTTGTATACATAATACAATTTAAGGAAACATCAAACTGCAAAGCAGCCATTCCAAAATCCAAGCGCAGTACAGCGTAGCCTAGCAACACAACAAAACAGAGTAAAACATTCGTGTTTAGATTCAGTTGTGTCTTAAAGATAGGATTAGAGTCTAAAATAAACTATATTTGTGATCCTCATTTTGGCATTCTGTTTGGTGTAACCCTGCACCATCACTCATTATTTCACTAAACTATGTGATTGCTTTGGTCTCTCACGAGCTGCCCGAGCGGCACACGCTGAGCATGATAACGCAGTCCGGCGCAGGTTTAGGGCCCTGTGTTCTACCAGAAGTGGAATTTGGATGCAGTCAACAATATCCCACGTGTTTCTTATTCCCAAAAGATTAACCCAGGTGGAAAAATATTCTATAAAATATTCTGCTGAACTTGAGTATTTTCCTCTTTCCTTGGTTCTCACCCTTTCTCTTGGCTGCTTTCTGTAATTATTTTCCACTGCTCAGGAAAGCTCTGCTGTCTGTGTTTCATTACTGAACTAGTTTTTCCACTCCAGCCTTTCCTCTTTCCCTTGGTCATTTCGCATCATGTAGGCTACAAGTACCAGAAAAAAAATGGATGGAGTTGTCTCCCTTTCAAACCCAAATACTTTTAAAATGTGAAAAAAATGTAAGGTAACCACAGGGCATCAAGGACGTGTGGAGTCAATTTTGGTTCACTGTTGACTACATGTTATGCTTTTGGGATTAATTATGTCTTGAAAAATTTGGCTTTCACTTTTGGAATTTTTTTATGAGGCTACTCATGTCGTGCTTCTTTTAAATCATGTTTTAATTCACACATTACAAGAATGGCAAAATACTTTAATATACAATAAAGGATATTGTAAAGTTGGGATTATGGGAGTGTTAAGCATTTCTTTTATGGTTTTCCTACAGCAACAAATGATAACCTATGCCAAGGGTTAGGTAGATGAATGGTCTGCCACTCGTCATGGTTTAAATACCACTTTGTTTTTCTAATGGGCAGTTAAGTTCATTCCAATTTTTAGGTGATGACTCACAAAACCTGGTGTAGTTGGACATACCTGCTACTGAAGACCCCAGTGTAAAAAGGAGTTTTACTCTTAAATTAAAATCAACCAGGCAGCATGCTCAGAAACTTGGAGCAGCAACTACTACCAAGTGCCGTAAATATCAAAATTCTCTCACAAGTTCAATTTGAGACCTAGATGCCCACTTTTAGGATTTCCTCAGATTCTCTTTCACCTCTCTGCAGGCCTTTGGTCATTTAGGTAGAAAAAAGAGACTTTCAGTCCCACTCTCTTTAACAAGAATATTGGGTGGATCCTACCTTGAGAGTCAGTCGGAATTCTAGGTATCGGGAACTGCTCTGGTTACTGGGACCTCTGGGTTCTTTGAATCTTTTGCTTCCTCTGATAGACCCAGAGCAGTCATATGACTGTTTGCTTTAACGAGAGGTGGGATGGAACATTCTGTTAGAAGGGCTAGGCTCTTGGCTACCTGACGGAAACTGGTCCACTTCTCATTTCTTTGTCTTCTCTTCAAAGGGCAGAGGCAAAGAACCAGAAAGAGTTAACCATGGGCCTAGCCTTGGATTTGGTGAAGCAGCAGAATTCACTGGGGCCTAGAATGAGGGCAGTGACTGCTCCCTTTTGGGTCTTCTCTTGGCCCTGAGTGCACTGGGAGCAGAGCAGCTTCCCAGCTTCATGTGTGGCTTGTGTCAGCTGTGCTGTGGGTGTGGCCTGTTCTCTACTTCACAGCTCCCTCCACCCAAGCCCACAGCTGTGGCAGTTGTGGCATGGCCACATCTGCTGCCTAACTCCTTTCCCATGGGGGTGGTAAAAAGGAAAAGCCAGGAGGTCAGAAGACCACACAGCAGCAACGTGTTGGGTAGAAATTCTATCGCAAACTGACTTGCTAACTCTCTAACAGTACTGTGGGAGCGGAATACCTAGAAACAGACCTGAGCCTTTCCATCCCGATTCCACAGGCTTCTGCCAACTCTTTGGGCTGCTGCTCTAAGACAGGGTTATTAGCGTCTTTGAATTAATAATAATTACCAGCATTTATTAAAAGCATATTATATGCCAGGCAAACTGAGTGCTTCACATGCATTATTTAAATCCATATTGTTGTTCTCATTTCATAGAAGAGGAAAGAGGCACAGAGAGGTTAAGTGACTTGCTAAAGATAAGATAGGTCGTGAGTGGCAGAGCCAGAACTCCAACTCAGAACTGCCTGATGCCAAAGTTCATGCTCTTCACCCCTGAACTAACCATCTAGGCTTCTCAGCGTCAGTATTGCTCTACGGTTCTGGTCTGTCTTTGCTCTGTCATTTCTTTCTTTTGATTTCTTTCCCTTCCTCCTTTGCTAAGTTTACAAGGGGGATCTTCGGCAGCCTGCCTTTGTCTAATGACTTCATCATAGTTTGTCAATAGTTTAAATGCTCAGAGACTCCTAACCCCTGAGGCTGGCTAGGTGTCTTCAACTCTCCACACCGCCACTGGCCATGAGCAGTAAGTCCTTCCCCATTTAGAACTTTTCCACATGTAAAAACACATTAGTATAATTTGAAGAAGACGAAAGCAAACTCATAATTGCAGTTTCACATTTCTTTTCTTTTGTTGTATAAAACTGCTTACTCTAATAACAGTTCAAAACATTCGCTAGGAAAAATGCCTCAAAATTAATAGCAGGATCCTGGTACTGGTGAGGGCTTAAGGAACACGGTTAATTTTGTCTCCTTAATCTATCCCAGCCTTTCTAGGGGAAAGAGGAATAATTTGGGATTTTGTTGAGTTCTCCATTTCTTTTTTTTTAGGAAGATCAGCCCTGAGCTAACGCTCACCACCAATCCTCCTCTTTTTGCTAAGGAAGATTGGCCATGAGGTAACATCTGTGCCAGTCTTCCTCTATTTTTTTTCATATGTGGATGCCTGCTACAGCATGGCTTGGTAAGTGGTAGGTAGGTGTAGGTCCACACCCGGGATCTGAACCAGCGAACCCTGGACCATGGAAAAAGAGAGCGTGAACTTAACCACTATGCCACCAGGCTGGTCCCTCCACTATTTTTTTAATAGGCAGAAAACTGAAAATTGAAATTTATTAATGACAGTCAAGGAAACAGTGAGAATACAGTAAGAAAAAAAGCTAGTTCCACTTTTGTTCCTTCAAGTATACCAAACATGAACACAAGTAAGCATTAAAATATAACTTTTTAGTAAAGGCTGTGATTTTGACTATTTTTCAAGGTGATGGTCATGCATTCATTGATTGAAAAATTGGAACCTCGAGAAAGTGCATTAATACAGAAACTGTTCATTGACAATGAAGAGTTTGCTGTGCTTTAACACAACTTGATTTGTGGATAATCTGTGTTTCATTCTAATCTTAGTATTATTGCAGAAATATATTTTTACATGAAAATGTAATATTAGAATAGGATAAACATTGTACAAACTTGTAAAAGTTTATAAGCTTTGCTACAATTATTTGTATCATTTTCTAACACAATATTTCCTTCAAAATAAATAATGAAATACAGGATGATATAAATAGATCAGAGATTTTAAAAAGATGACTTCTGGACTGTTAATTTTAGCTTCCTTTTCTTTTAAAAGAGCGTGTTATTTACATGACTTCTGTAGACTTTGTAAAATTATACTGTCACACATCAAGCTCTTAAGGTACAAAATCACTTCCTTTTTGTGTGTGTCCTTCATACCCAGCATAGTGCCTAAAATGTACAAGATACTCAATAAAAAAGAATTTGTAGGCTTGAACTGGGAACATAATATCCAGTAGCTGCTTATTAAATTCTAAGTAGTCAATTGATTTTTTGACCCTCAAAATCTAAGAGAAAACATTTGGATGGAAACAAACAAAAAATCCTGAATGCATAGGCACTATCAAAATTGGTCTATGCTTATACACTTCTTAAATTCCATTGAATTAAGTAAGTGTGCATCTATTTATTTTAAATATTCTACTTTTTTGAGTTTTTCTACTACAGCATATACATGCTACTCACTATGTCTTTCTCCTTTTTTTTCATAGAACTTAATCCTATCAGAAATAATATTATTTGTGTATTTGTTTACTGGCTTATTTTCTGTCTCAAGACTTTGTCTGGTTTACCGCTGGAACCCCATCACCCTCATAAGAGGAGTACATACTAAGCCCTCAATATTTGTGGAAGGAATGCACATCTTCACCAGAATTATTCACGTAGAAGCAGACCTGATGGAATAAATAAGTACTCAGGAAACAAAGAAGTTCTCTATCCTCCGAAAGCAAGATGGATGTAGAATTTGGGAAAATAGTTTCAAGTCAAAGAAGAATTCTATCTTTTAATTAAATAGTTCCTCTGTCCAAATAAATGCCCATAAGCACTATACACACAACTGAAGCCAGACCCCACACCCTTCTTTACCTGAGGGTTTGCAGCCATGATGGTGTAATTCCCGTCATCGTCTAGGGTGGAGGCTGTGGTATGGAGAGAGCAGGTCCCGTCGAGATCTCTTTGAATGGTGTAGTGATCATTCTTTGGAGAGATCTGCTTTCCATCTTTAAACCAATAGATCTGTGAAAGGAAACAAAGATGAAAGATTAAGGATGTATGTAGTCCTACTCTATTTGGGGGACCAATAATAGTGACAGTGTGGTCCACAGAGCTGATCTGAGTTTTCACATTAAAATGTTAAACACAACACCTGAATAGGAAATTGATTTTTAAGTGAAAAAAGTAAGTAACAATTGTATTTGAGTTCTTAATAATTATATATCCTCTTTTTATTTTTAAAATATGTATATGAGTAGGTATTTACATTCATGTATTATTTATACGGAGGGATTTATATAGAATGTTGATTATTTCTCAGGTGGCATTACAGGCGTTTTTCTTTTTGCTTCTTTTTATTTTCAAATGTACTGGCAATTAAAATGTATTACTTATAAAGTAAGGGTAAAAAGGTTATTTTAGAGAACAAAAACAGACCCCAAACTCTGATCATTCTACTGAATGTGTTAGACAAACAAAGGAGCATGGTGAGGAGGGAAGCAGCAGTTAAGGGAGGGTGGTGGGTGGGCCTCCGCTGCTTTCATTCTGGGCCAAGGAGCAGAGGATCAAAGGGAGGAAGTCTGTCGGCGCGCCTCACTATGTTAAAGAAAATGCAGTGGCATTTAAACATCTAATAATTTTCAAATAATACTTTAACTTGGGTTGATAGAAAATTAAGTGTGAAGAATAAAGTAAAAATAAACCTTGACCAAATAAAAATTTTTAAACTTGTCAAACTACCTCTTCTATAGGTCCTCTTTCCTTCTCTCACCTTTAAACAAAATCACTTGTCCATGGATCTCTGATGAATTAGTTATTATTTTTGATTTCGTTTATGAACTACATAGTTGAAAGATGGGGCCATCACTCACGATGAATCACAGTGCTAGCAGCCCTAACATGAATGAGATGCTGAATTACTGCCTGCAGCAACCCACCTCCAGGCTTACTGTTAGGGAGGAAAATGAATCCCCCATTTTTAAGTCAGAGCAAGTTCTTTGTTGTCAGTTTTGTTCCTTGCAGCCAAAAGCATTCCTAACTGATTCCTAACAGAAGAAATCTACTTATTAAAATGAACTTCTTCTTTAATGTAAATCAATATGTAATTGAGACCACAACCGGCATTCAAATTCAACTCTCTGTCAAAGCCTTTGAATCTGAAAACAATCTTTTTGAAACTTCCATTTCTAAGACAGGAAAAGGCTAGAAACACATAGCACTAAATAAGTGCATGAAATATCAGGATCTGACTGCTGTAACTTTTCCAACCCGTTTTTCAGTTAGCTCTAAATTTACAGAAACTATGTTGTTAATCGCCAGAAGCTAAAAATTAATCAACTAGACTAATAATTTTCAGTTCTAAAAATTAAATTATATAAAACATGATACCTCATAATTATATACTCTTCTTTGATTTTTTTCTGATGGAACAAAGAAGCTATAATTAGTATACAATTTCTTCCTTTTGCATTCTTGCCACTACTCCAGTTCTTCAGAATTCTTTCCTTTAATCATATTTTTCACCTCCATTTATACTTGGAATACAACTTTCAAATGAGAATTAAGAAATAGTTCCACAATTTTACCAAGACTGTTAGTGGAGAGGGAAGGGGAGGGTACAAGAAATGAAAACAGGGTGAATTAGAAATTCTTTTCAATCTTCTCAAGTCTCAATTAGGAGAAGCATGTCAAGAACAGAATAGGGAGGGGCTAGTCCTGTGGCTGAGTGGTTAAGTTCGTGCACTCTGCTTCGGCGGCCAGTTCTGATCCTGAGCACGGATCTAGCACCGCTCATCAAGCATGCTAAGGTGGCGTTCTACATAGCAGAACTAGAAGGACCTACAACGAGAATATACAACTATGTACTGGGGAGCTTTGGAGAGAAGAAAAAAAAGTGGAAGACTGGCAACAGATGGTAGCTCAAGGCCAATCTTTAAAAATGAATAAATAAATAAATAAAAATTTTAAAAAGATATAAGCTAAAAAATGTATTTTTAAAAATATGATGAACATCCCATATTTCAGTAATCCCAATATAATTTATATAACATGCAGAAATAACAGTTCTTCAATAAACTGGAGAGGGAAGAAAAAGAATGGCAGTGAGGAAAGGAGGGAGGAAGGATGAAGGAAGAAACTCTAACAATAAAAAGTTCTTAAAAAATTAAGCCTCTTAAAGCTGTAAAACATTTAAAATTATACTAGATGGGGCTGGCCCCATGGCTGACTGGTTAAGTTCACGCGCTCTGCTGCGGCGGCCCAGGGTTTCGCCAGTTCAAATCCTGGATGCAGACATGGCACCGCTCATCAAGCCATGCTGAGGCGGGATCCCACATGCCACAACTAGAAGGACCCACAACTAAGAACATACAACTATGTACCGGGGGGCTTTGGGGAGAAAAAGTAAAATCTTTAAAAAAAAATAAAATTATACTAGGAAAAGCACAATTAAGTTAAAAACAAGAGCCCTTCTTTCAAATGGACATAATGTTCTTTAGAACAGGAATCAGTGATCTTAGAACTTGATCCATGATCGTAAGCCTTGCATAAGTTTTAAAAACAATGTGGGATCTCTTTGTGAATATTTTGGAAGTTCAAGGTATAATTTCTTGCTGAGTTTCATTAATAAGCTGCAAATTTATTTTTAATAGATGCATTTGATATCATGTTTGTGAATACACAGCAGTTATCCAAATCGTGCCAAGAATATGGTAAAGAAGTTTCTCTAACAAGCGTTCGGTATTTTAAAAGTCTCACTTTATGAGAAGGTGTACATGGGTTTGAAACTGTAAGGCTATTTTCTTTGTTCTAGCTTTCTCTAACTATAGGACTGGAATTCAGTTTTAGGGAAAGAATGTGACGGTAGAACGTCCCTTACTGTGGAAACAGAGCAATGCTGGAGCAATGGAGGGTGAACTGGAAGAGCCTCAGTGCTGCTCCAGCACCTTCCCTCCTTCTGCTCTACTCGTTCCCATTTCGGCTCTTTCGCACCACGGTTAAGCTTTTAATTCCAGTGAGTATATATTCATTTCATTTTTCGTTTCTCTATTTCATTTCTATGAGTATATTTTTCATTTCATTTCTTACTTTACAAATCTGCCTTGTCTTTGGTACTGTCCTGTTCTTTCATTAAAGTTTCTATTCCTTTTAAAATTGTTTCAATCATTTTAAAAATAGTTATTTTATAGTCTCCTTACGATTGTTAAATATTGTACCTTACTTGGGCTTCTATTTTCCTGTTTTTTGTGCTATTGACTCTCCTCATTGTTTATTTCCTTATATGTTTGTAAGTTTTTATTGTGAACTCATTTTTCCTCTGTCCTCCCTGTAGTTCTATAGCACAATTTTTACTTCCTTCTGCCAGAAACCTAAGGATTTTAATCATCCTGGACTAAATTTCGTATGAATTTCTCAGGTTTTGGCTCCGTATCATGTGATACTGTAAATCTGGAGTTTAATTTCCAATGGATGCCTTTTTTATTCTTTTCTTCCAAGTTCTAGGTAAAAGTGTAATCCTGTTTATTGCTTTGCTTGGCTAGTGAGCTGTTATTCTAGTGTCCTTTTAAAGACAAGGCAACTCTTTATCCAGAATTACCATATGTCTAGGGAGAGGGCTCCCAGCTGGGTCAGCCTAGTCCTCTTGAGTGTCAGAAGTTCCTCTGATTTTCCTTTCTGAACAGGTTGGCCCCCTACCCCTCAGCCCCCTTTATAAATATAGGAAGACTTGGTTTTGTAGGTTAAAGATCTGAAGTTTTTATAATTGGTGGTAAGCATTACTTCTCTGACTGGTACAGAGCATGAGGTTCCTGTTCAAGCCTACCCACTCATCAGCTCTCTGACCTTGGGAAAGTTAACGTCACTGAGCTCAGTTTAGTCATTTATTCATGTGGGAGTAACAATGATAACATCACATGAGTAAATGATGTAGGTGCATGAAAAGCTCCTTGTCAATTATTTTTATTTTTTTGCTGAGGAAGATTTGCCTTGAGCTAACATCTGTGCCAATCTTCCTCTATTTTGTATGTGGGTTGCCATCACAGCATGGCCACTGAGGAGTGGTGTAGGTCTATGCCCAGGAACTGAACCCAGGCCACCAAAGTGGAGTGTCAAACTTAACCAGTAGGCCATGGGGCTGGCCCCTCTTTGTCGATTATTTAACTGTTATTCTTCTATTCTATATTATTCAACTGTATTCTCTGCTACTCCATTCTATTCTACTCTATTCTATTCTATTTTGCAAACCCCAAGTCCACCCCCTTTCCACCCTTTTTGGTTTCTAATGCCTCCTAAAGATGACCCTGAACTTAGAGTACTTCAACACTTTACATCATGGGTATTATAAGGTAGTCTGTATCTCTTCCTCTTACCATATATGGAAGTAAACTCTTGCTCAGAGAATATAACTCTTAAAAAAACATGTTTTCAGCTCACCTTTGGCTTTGGATTCCCAGTCACTCTGCATGTGAAAGTTACAGGCATTCCCTCAAAGATCTTGTAATGTTTCAGCTTCATCTCAAAGAATGGTGCCATTCCGTTTTCCACAGGCACGTCCCCATACTGAACTTCATCACCTGATTCGTCCACAGGAGACCTTTCTAGCCTGTACTCGATTTCACTGATGAGTCTCTGTTCACAGCTGGAGACTTTGTATTCCTACATTAAACAAGGAAAGGTCATGTTAGCAACCTCAGTCCCTTGTGGTACAATGTGTCTCATGAGTCTTATCCCTCTCTCCAGTAAGGCACTCAGAAGACTGTGATATTTCTACCTTAGAGCTTAAAAACATAGTCCGAGCCCAATTCAATTCCATATAAAACAAAAAACATCTGGAAGTAAGTATATATGATATTTCAAAATGTCTTCAAGTCCTATCATCCAAAAAAACCTATGAAGATGAATTTCTTTCTCTTTTCTCTTGGGGCGAGGGGGAGAGAAGAAAGAAAAAGGTAAAATATTCCTAAACTGTTCATAAAAAATAGAACACAATGGAACACTGATTGCTTTCTGTATGGTAAAAGCTGATGCAGGGTGGTGCTTCTCTCTAGAAAGCTAATAGTGCATGTGGCAAGCAGCTGCAGTATTACACAGCATTTTATCAAATGAATAATGGAAAAAATAGTGCCCTGTTTTTTTTCACTCATAACAATTCTCAGCCACATAGCCTCTGGACTCCTCCTTAGTTCTGCAGGTATTAGGGACTATTCTCTACTCTCTTTAAAAGAAAAAGAGAATTGACAGTCCAGTTAAAATTTTGATTAAAAAAATAAAAGCAAAGAAGTCATCAACATCCTATAATTAAGGTGGATTTGGCAGTTCTCTTACTTACAAAGTACAATGAAGACAAGGCAGCCCATTATAAAATATTCTCTATTTAATATTAAATAAGAGATTGTTTGTTTTAACTAGGTTTTCTCTTACAGAAGTTATTCAGCCTTTGAAAAATAGGTCGTTGGCTTGAGGGAAGAAATACAACAGTATGTATAAAGCCGCAAAAAATACACAAGTTGTTTTGTTTTATCTAATTACTATCAAATTAATCAGTTTAAGAATTAGCACTTTTTCCCCTCGAAAGGTATAACAAATAAAAAACTTTGCATGTTTAAAGTTCAGAGTATCCACTCAAACAGAATCAAATTCAAGTTTGTAAATAAATGACAAGAAAATTGACATTGCGGTAATTGCTCATCTGATAGTAAATGAAAACAGACACTGGTCATAGTATTTATAATTAATACATAGCAGTAAAGATAGATACACAGGTAAACAAGGAAGCACAGAAGAAAAGAGATACAGTGAAAGACTAGAAAGAGAAGAAAGGTGAAAAGCTTAACCTTTTGACCATCCAGAGGACCCCCTACAGAAGCATGAGGAGACTCAATTTCCTGTAATGGTAGAAAAAAAGAAGTGAAGACTAATAATAGAAATAATATGAATCTAGCAAGATTTCTAGTTTTCTGTAAGTGAAATTTTTGTGGTAGCAATATTTAACAGGAAAACTTCGATTTTGAAGGCAGATCTATTTCTCAAGACATGAGAAAGAGTTTACTCAGTCCTTTCAACCTGTTTTTAAATAGCTTTTTCTTTTTTATTTTGTTTTATTTAATCTCAAGACTACATCGGGAAACTCCAAACAGAAGAAGTGGAGATTATAAAACAGCTTACATCAAATCCATGAAGTGACGTTTTTGGTGGTAGCAGGGTTTTATTCCAGTGTTTTAGGTTTTGCTGATTAGTGATTTATAACTATATATGAGAAGGGAAAGAAAGACATAGCCTTTTCTGTACATAGATATTTTACTTTGACTAGATATTAAGAATATAGTGGGCGGGGCTGGCCCCGTGGCCGAGTGGTTAAGTTCGCGCGCTCCGCTGCAGGTGGCCCAGTGTTTCGTCGGTTCGAATCCTGGGCGCGGACATGGCACTGCTCGTCAGACCACGCTGAGGCAGCGTCCCACATGCCACAACTAGAGGAACCCACAACGAAGAATACACAACTATGTACCGGGGGGCTTTGGGGAGAAAAAGGAAAAAATAAAATCTTTAAAAAAAAAAAAAAAAAAAAAAGAATATAGTGGGAAATATTCATAGCTATCTCAAACAATTTCAGTGAAAATGTGTTTCTCCACACAACACTATTTTGCATGAAAGCACAGGACAGGAAAAACAAAGATACTTGAAAGGAGAATAAACTCATCAATAAGAAGATAAAAAGAACAGATATCACTGACTGAAATAATTCCATCAATCAGTTAACACAATGTCTGGCACACAGTATGTGCTCAATAAATATTTGTGGGGCCGGTCCTGTGGCCGAGTGGTTAAGTTCATGTGCTCCGCTTCGGTGGCCCAGGGTTTCACCAATTCAGATCCTGGGCGCAGACATGGCACCGCTCATCAGGCTGTGCTGAGGCAGCATCCCACATGCCACACCAAAGGCACTCACAACTAGAATATACAACTATGTACTGGGGGTCTTTGGGGAGAAGAAGAAGAAAAAAAAAGAAAAAAAAAAGATTGGCAACAGATGTTAGTTCAGGTGCCAATCTTAAAAATAAGTAAATAAATATTAGCTATGAGGTTGATCGATGACATTAATACTGCTTTTCTTAGACCTGCCCTCTGCTTTCCACAGAATTGATCCCAAGACTAGTGTCCGTAAGAGGATGGGGAGAGGGGACAGAAGAACTGGTATCTGTCTAAGAAGTCCAGGGGAACATCCTACCTGATTAGCTGCTTCCTCTTCCGGCTCCTGAATATTAAAGACAGTTGCACTCTCAGCACCTAGTAATCGACGAGCCATTCTTTCTTCATATGTTAACCTCTAAACAGAGTAAGTCACAAAAATACAAAATTAGAAAAACCACAATTATATACTGCCTCATGAAAAAGAATTTTTAAAAAACTCTCAAGTTTTGATGTTGTCTGTAACATTCTCTCTCCACCTTCAGACACTTGTATGAAAAGGAGTCTGTTTCTTTCCCTGGCTTCAGTCATCCTGCCTTTCACCTCCTCTTCTGGTCCTAATGGCCTAATCCAGTGTGAGGAGATGGGGTAACTATTCTTGAGAGCCAACAATGGATAGAGCACAAATTTAAGGTGAATATAATAAACAACAAGGCGGAAACCACATAGAAATACGTCACATACTTATCCTTAATGATAAACATAGAGAAAAAAAGATATTCAAACAGCAAAATATTTTTTAAAGGAAGTGTTATTTTCACAGCCAGAAGAGCCTAGTCAGCTCCAACACTCTAACAAAGGAAGTTTTAGACTAGCTGGCAGGGATGGTCCTGTCTGCTGTTGGGGGGAGTCTCACCTCTAAGAGCATTTCCGAGGCCCTTAGCATAGGAATGTAACATAGTTGAACGCAGGCAAATATGATAATCCACAAAGAATGACTGTACGTGGCTGGATTAGCAAAAGGACTATGAAAGATACTTTCCAAAGCCAACATCCACAATTCATGATACTTCTCAGAGGCAGGCTGCTTGCCCAGCAGGCAAAGAAAGTGGTAATGTTTTTGCATCTAGCAACCAGCACTTTGGATTTGGCCAAAACCATTTTGCTAGGCGCTTCTTATACAAAGGAAATGCCAACATTTTTATTCTGTCTATTGGGCTGATTCCTGCTCTTGAGTGTTGGTTCTAAAACGCCTTAGAATTACAGGTCTAGGGAGAACTCTCAAAGACCATTTGCCCCATGAGGGGCATTTTACAAACAAGTGTTTGATTCAAAATAGAGAATAATTAGCAAGGCAGGATCTAAAAAAAAATAGAGACATTATTTCAGAGAAACGTCCAAACTTATGAATATAGATGCAAATTCTATTGGAAACTCTCTAATCAGGAAAATATGTTGGGTAAATTTACAGTTTCCAGTAATTGTTGGTTCTAGTCCCAGCTGAAACTGGGAAGTGAAACAAGTCAAGTGCCAAGTGCCAAATAGTCCCAAAGTTCAAATTATTTCAGTTAATAAAGAAGCGGCCGAGGACAAGAGGGGGTAGATGTAGGAGTCTGACCGGTGCATAGAGTTGTCTCAGTTCAGTATGTTATTATTTAAATTAATTTTCTCACGTCTGTTAAGAAATCAGTGAATTCCATTTTCAAAGAGTTTTAAATACCTGCTCTCTTGAAAGCCTTCCTAATATTTTCTTAGAGAACTGTATCAACGTCAAAGGGAGGACTGGAATAATTTCCACCCTGTTCCTTATAAGCAGAAATATCAATTTGCTATCTAGTCCTTCACCAGAATGCACCTGCTACCATTAGAAGCCAAATTACTTCAGTTTTGTTTCTAAACCACTATGCCATGTGCATATATAAGCCCTGTCTACAGAAGCCAAAAATAAGTAACAGAATAATATGTAACATGAGGAAAAAGTTGTCTGAGGATCCCAAGGGAAGCCTAACTTTTCTTGTCCTTTTAAACTCTCAGATGTGGAAATCTATGGAACATACTGTGAATGTCATTCACTGTTAAACAGATAGATAAATATAAATGATATATAGTTATATATAAAAATATATAAAACAGATAAATATAAATATACATACATAATAGCTTATAAATGTCTTACTTTATCCAAGAGAATCTTAGTCCATGAGGAATAAACAACTAACCAAAAAAGGAGGAAAAAAAAAAAAACTGGAGAGATGCCTCTACCTGGCTTGAAAAAGTTCCCATAAGTATTTGTTTTAATCTTTCAAAGGCTTAGTTGACAGAGCCAGGGAAAACTTCCAGAGTATGTACATTTGCACATACAATCACTTATTTCAGGGAGAAAATATTTTCCCTTTGTGAAAATCTTCTATTCTCGGTGAAATGAATAACTAACACAAGATCTCATTAGAATTTTAATCTTTCTGAACTCAGATTAGGATACCCTAATAATTAAAATCAGCATTCAACAGCCTGCCTCTGTTGCTCACCTTACCAGTCAAACACGGTCTGTTCTCACATTTTTATTTATCAATGCTTGATAATTAAAATTCCTAGAAAACAATTAACATAGAGAACTTTCTAACTCTGAAAAAGGTGTTTGAGAGGAAGATTTTATACAGAAAGGCCTTTTTTTCTCTTCTACTTAAGAGACAGACAAATTTTTCTGGTGATGATTCCATAATAAAGCCACGAAAGGCTCCTTTCCTTTACCTGGGAAGTCTTATTTGCTAGGCTTTCTTTTCCCATCCTCTTGAAATACTCTGATGTGATAAGAAAAGGGTCAGTAGAAAAAAAACTAACAACTGATGAGGAAACATTGAAGTCCAATGGAGAAAACATCCTATATATACATTTTTTTTTTTTTTTACCAGATCTAGTTATCTACTCTACAATTCTGCAGCCTTAAAACATAATTATTTTTTCTTGAGTCTAGTTGTCTTGCCCTGACAAACTAGAACAAGATTGTAAAACAGGCATTAGTCTTTCAGATTACTGAATCAATATCCAGTAACAGTCTAGTAGAATAGAACTGGACTTTAGCAAAGGTTTCCTTAGTAAAAAGATATTTTTGGGTAAAAGCAGTACATGCCATAGAATCCTCTTTTTGTTGCTTTAATTCCAATTCACTGCTTCTGGTCAGATACAAATTATTCCAGAGCACACCTCTCCCTCCTCCCCAGCCCCCATCCAGCACGGATGGAATCCCATGTTCCTCTTTCTTTATAACATCACTGTTACTCATTTGTTCTACTCCCAGTCTTAAAATCAGCCCTTCCTTGTTCCTTTATCTCCAACTTGCTGTCTTCACTCCAAGAATGGTATCATGAATAGGAGGAAGCAGTGAAGGCTGAGTAGAAGGAAGCCATCCACCTTCTGCCTTTCCCCAGATTCAAGTCATAATACTAACAGGACTGTTGAGATCCAGGGATACTAAAATCAATTTGTGGACAGTCTTAAAAACCTAAGTCTTAGTGAAGCTAGGGAAGAGCTCTTTGATGTGCTTGCTATTATTCCAGGCCCTACATCTCTCTCAGTACCGGCTGGCCGTTGTTCAGGAGGTCCTCCTTGAAGCGCAGTTTTCGTTCCAGGTCTTGAATGACAGCATCCTTTGTGCCTTGAATCTCCTCATCAGAGGCTATTCTAGCAGTTCTATTGGACTTCTTTGGAAATCCCCTGCAGGACAAAAGCACAAGGCGGTGTAGTCAGTTGTCAGGCATATAAATCCAAGTTAAACATTCAAGCCCAACAAAGAATACAGGGTGTCAATGTGTCACCCCACTCTTTTTATGCTACATCTATTCCAACTAATATGGAAAGAACCATGAAATCTACTTTCGGTGTTCAGGTAACACTAATTGGAACCAGTTTTCAGAGCAAATTCAAACACCTTAGGGCAGGTGTCTCAGTGGTTAGATAAATTGCCAAGGATAGGGAAGGTGTCATAGTCCTAGGGAGGCAGCAACGTAAAGTGAAAGCATGAGCTGATTGTAATTCAGACCTGGATTTAAGATCTGGCTCTGTCTTGTATTAGGTTTATGACTTTGGGCAAGTTTCTTAACATTTCTTATAAACAGGTATAAAAATACATACTACATATGATTGTTTAGAGGATTTGAAAGAAATATATTTCTTTCATACTTTCAGAAATTTAGTCCTTCTGACCCTTTGTAATCAATTTATTCAACAACAGTGCCTAGCCCAGTCTAAGCAAATATTAAGTTTGTTCCCTTCCGTTCCATCCTCTTCTGTCCTAATTCGATTAGGGTAGGCCAATGTACTGTGAGACAAGGTCTACTTTATACCAGAAGGCCCTGAGTAGTCTGCAGGTCCTGCTGCTATACCCCAGGCCTCCTAAACCTCCTGGACAGCCGAGGCTCTTACGAGAGGCGACACCTCAGAACCTTTCTTTCCAAGGGCACAACAGCACCCTGAGCCCTGTGAGCCAGGGGGCATTGGTGCTGGATGCTTGATGGGTGGGGAATTACTTTTGTTGGCGCCTTAGCATCTGTTTCCTGTTTTTCTTCCTTTTCCCTCAGGGGGCTATGGGTAAAGATGAAGGAGAAACAGAATACTCTACAGTGGTGAAAATGAATGACCCATAGCGACCCCTATCGCCACACCAAATTTCAAAAACATAATGTCGAGTTTTAGAAAAAGCAAGCTACATAAGAATACATACAGGATGCTTCCATTTATAAACTGGCAAAAGCTAACCAGTACTGCCAGGGCAGTGGTTCTCAAAGGGGGGGTCCCTGGGCCAGCAGCATCAGCAGTACCTGAGAAACTGTTAGAAATGCAGATGTTTGGCTTCACTCCAGACCGACTGAATCTGAAACTCAGGGTTAGGGTCCAGCAATCTATGTTTTAATAAGCCTTTTAGGTGAGTCTGATATGTACAAAAGTTTCAGAAACAAATTTAGGGAAACCTACATATACAGACTATAAAGAGAATGGTCAGAGAATGATTCACCCAGAGTGATTCAGAGAGTGATTCCAGGCAGTGGTTACCTCTTGGGCAGAGTAGTGGATGCAACTGGGGAGGGTCACACAGGGAGCTTCAAAGGAGCTAGAAACAGGTAAGGCCTTGGTTTTATTATTCTTCTTTAAACTATACATATACATTGTGCCTACTTCCTTATTTATCTTATGGTATCTTATGATAAGACATTTCTAAGTTTGAAAAAGGTTTATTGCAAATATGTCAAGGCATCGTGTGCCTGGCATCACTTCACTGATATGGTGGAAAGCACCAGTAAGGCCAATGATGTAAATAAACACTGAGGTTCACCAAACCTTCCGCTTCTCACCGTTTCACCCCATAGTGCTGGGAAAAGACAGTCCTTAAGTATGCAGTAGGAAATGTGAGCATCCTGTAACAGCTCCACACCCAGCCCTCATCAGTAATACTGTGGACTGGAGGCCCGTGCTCCTGGTCTTCCCAGTGCCTGTTCTTTCTTCCCATCCACTCCCTTTTGCTCCCTTGCTGAACTTCCCCTGATTTTGATGGGTGTTCACTTTCAATGTGCTTAGAGAAGGTCACCCCTCCCCAAACTCAGGGGTGACTGATTTGAGTCAATTTGCATGGTTTCAATCCCCTGGGCAGGGATTAGTTGAGCCAGAGGCATGTTTGGTAGCCCTGGCCAGTGAGATTGGGGGAATGGAGGTGGCAGAGAGAGGGTGAGGTACCCTAGCTAAATAAGAATTTCCCAGCTCTAAAGAAACACACAGGAGGAAACGCCCTTCTCCTTTCACTGGCTACCGCTGCATCAACAATGTCATGCCCCCAACTGCTGCGTCCTACTATGACCACGAGGGGAGAACCCATAACACGCCAGTGATGACAGCTCGGGAAGATGGAGAACCTGGGTCCTGGATTGTTTTGGGGACACTGTGTTAACCTACCCTGGAACCGCCTGACCCCACACTTGTTACATAAGTCAGTAAACCCCATGCAGTTGATCTACTGCTAGTTGAGTCTTCTCATACCTATAGTGGGAAATACCCTAACTGATAGCCTTTCCAGGTTTTTCCTTACTAGTCATTTGCCCCTGAAGTTCAAAAGGATGATATTAGATACTAGTATTAAAGAAACAAAATATTGTGATATTTTGTGTTTGTATTATCAGGAAGTGGTTGGTCTAACTTTAAGTTGTATCCTACTCACTAGGAATTGATTTTGATTTTTAGGGAGCTGGGCAGTGTACTGAGGCATATTAACAGCAAGAGCCGTGGGAAGTCTGACTTAGAACCTCAGTTTTCAGTACCATGCAATCCTTTAACAAAAATGTGCATGGTTTGCCAGCTTTCCTGAGCCTTGAGCCTCTCTCCCTTACTCTTTTTCTTGGGGCAATGCCATCTGCCTTCAGTTTAATGTCTCTTCAGAAGGGATGACCCTGACTAGGTTTATCCCATTAGCTGTTGTACCATGTTTGTTTTCTTTATAGCACTTATCACATTTTATTATTACATGTTCTTTTTAGCTGTCTCTCCCCAACCATGCCTCTTTTGTTAATCACACGCCTGTCAAATAGCAGCCCCCCGATATCGTGCATGGACTGAGCCAATGCATGTGCTATTTCCACTTCTGACCTCCCTCTACCGTCCCTCTTCAGGAAAGAAAATCTGTGCCAGAGCCATCTGAAATCAAACCACACGTAAAAAGTCAGGCTCAGAACAAGTAAAAATTACACAATTTGGGAAATAAAATTCTATGCTGCTTTTGACTACAGCCTGACATCTGAGAACTAGAAGAACTAGGTTTTGAAATCACCTGAAAGGTAAGATTGAAGACAGCGTGTGCTCTGTAACATCAGGTGTTATTGGGAGCACGCAATTACTTTACACTTGACAACATAAACCCACTGCACACTGTGTGATGAGGGGCAGCCTGGGATGACAGAAGCTTCACCGTGTTTCTGCAGGCAGACTACACTGAGAGCTGTGTTCTCTGCACAGATGAGAAAGAAAGGAGCAAAAGGCAACCATCAAGGGCAGAACAGACCGCCTGAACCAGAGAAGCAGAGAACTGTTTTCATGAAAGACGGACGCAAGTCCTCTTGAGCAAGCGAACACCTGACTATTCACCGCAGAATAAGTCCTCTTGCTTAAAACGCATTTCTCAATATACTTGACTCTTCAAGGGAGCTCAGAACAACTGCTCTGGGACATTTCATAGAGAAGCCATTCACCTTGGTTTGGGTTCCTGCCACCCAGGTATTTTATCATTTCAAAGAGTAAAATTAAAATTACTCTTTGACCCAAATAAAAACCCTGAACATTCTATATTTTGTTTAACAAGCCCATTCCCTACATATCAAGATCGCCAGTATTAGAAGGGTGTTTACTTCATCCCTGTTTCCCTCTGTTTTTAAGACATTATTTTCCTTTACTTACAGAATTTAAGGTACACATATTTTCTTGGTTGTGAACAAGTAACACTGAAATAAAAATCAATCAATTGAAAGAATTTTAAATGTCTAATAGTCAATCCACAAACACTGAACATCTAGCAAGGCAGAGTGCTAGGCGAATACACCTATATTGATTCTGTCAGCCTAGGACACAACAGTTGGTTTGTAAGGTGAGTGATTGTATCACCTGACGACATCTTGGAATTCGACCATGTATTAGAAATTCTATGCATAAAGATGGAAAAACATAATAATAAAACAACAGCCTCATCACTGTAGTCTCAACACTATTCTATGTGATATGGAGAAGACAGCCAAATCCTAAAGGATGGTCCTGATTACAAGAGGTTAATAATCAAGTTGGGGAATAAGTTAAAGAACAAACTATGTGGTGGCAATTCTAGGTGCAAGGGGAGTAACAGAGAAATAGAAAAGAATGCTGGCTAGAATGACTGCAGAAGGCTTCACGGAAGAGGAGGTGTCTAAGAGACGTCTTGAAAGGTGGTGAGGATGAGGAAGGAAAGACTATCTGGTACACAAGCAGAGCGGGGAGAGGAAGGAATTCAGAGTCAGCATGAATAAAGGCATGCAAGTAAGAATCTCTTTTTTACCACAGCAAAGTTGTGCGACTTGGGCTAGTTACCTAATGGCCACGTGCCTCAGTTTCTCCTCTGTAAAGTGTAAGATGTGGGTATTAATAGCATGTGTCTCAGAGGATTACTGGGAAAACTGCATGAGCTAATATATGTTAAGCACTTCTTAGATCAGTGCCTGGCATAGTAAGAGTGGATCTGCAGAGGCCGACAGAAACCATCCAGCATGGAGGTGAATCACACAGATGAGACTGGCTGAGGAAAACAGTGAAGGAGGGGAAGGAGTTTAAAAAGATGCCAAGAATTCTTGATCACAGTTTCTAAGAACATGCAAATAACTTTCATCGATTGCTTTTCAGTGCTCAACTCTGTTCTAGGTGCTAGGAATACAGTACTGAACAAAACTAAGTCACTATACTTACAAAAATTATATTCTACAGAGGGGATGGCAGGAGAGAGAGGGAAAAAAATGATGGAAGGAAGGCCATTTCAGGAGGTGGGAAGCGCTATGAAGTGACGGGAATGTGAGGAGATGACATGTTAGACAGTGGGGGTCAACCAGAGGTCTGAGGAGCTGCCACCGCAGCGGAGGCCCCAGTGAGAGAAAGGTGCCGGCTGTGTAAAGGCCTACAGGGAAAGCGAGGCAGTGCCAAGGTCCTAGGGCCAGAAC